GCTCTGACCAAATTCCGCCCGCTCCGCTCCTCGCTCACGCTCCGCTCACATGCTCTGTTGTATAGGCCTAATGATTGTCTAGCCATGGAGTATCATAATATGTGACACACTGAAAATTAGCCGCTGGTTATCTTAAAGTTTACAGTTTCATTTTCCCAGTGTAGTGTAATAAAACCCAACATGTTTGGTTTTCTAAAAGTATTCAGTGCTTTCTTACTTATTCAGGGTTTAACTGCTTAAAGCTGTCAATAACAAGTACATTATCATTTACTCATTTAAATCTTATTTAAGCCTTTTCTTTTTTTTTCATAAGAAAATTACAAAAGAGCTACAGCGTTTCATACAGTATTCCTCAGGGGCAATAGAAGCTAAAACTAAAACTCCTTATCTCAAACGGGCTGCATTACTCCTTTAATTAACCAGCAGATGAAAACCCATTTGAAACTGGACACTTGGCTTGAGATCCAAGCTATAAAAATTTAAGAGTTCTTGCTATTACTGAATTTCATAACTTAACGGATTGGCTACTAATACAAAAATGTAAAGGTGCACAACAGGGTGCTTTCGGCCCTGAACAGGATACTTATGATGGTCGTTTAGCACTTCCTGTGATTCGGTATGAGTTAGTTCGCATACGCTCGTACTTTCAGAGTATTGTAAAATGTCACTGTTTCTCACATGCTGCATTTTAGGAACGACATAAGCGCTTACTGGTGCGCTCTATGAACAGACTAAGCCACATACCTAGCTGTAACTTTGCACTTAGTTTTAAGAGAAGTCCCATTACTTGACGCCGGACTCGCCGCTTGTAGCGTCCTGTCGCCTTGGTAACGGATCCCTTTCCATTTCCGGGAGCAGGCATGTCCGAGCAGTTGGATGGTGATGACTTTGATGAACTGGATGCATATTTCACCGTTTTTGCCGGATCCTCCATTGAAGATGTGACCTACGCCAAAGTCTTCTGGAGTTCCGTCACTTTGCAGCCGCCTCTTGAATCCCGCTTGGTTTCTGCGAGTATTAGTCAGCGGCTTAAAGTAGCGGGAGATCCCCAGCCCTGTAAGTGTACGCTATAGGACTGTCAGGAATCCAGGTGTCTGTTTATAATGCATTACAGTTCTGTGAGTAGTACAGCTTGAAACAGCGATTGTTCCCTATGTAAATGTACATAAATACGAAAAGGATGGTGACCATACTTTGCTTTGTAAAAGAGAGGAGATCGGAATCAAGACGCAAAGAGATGCGTCAAAGCAACGTAAGCGAACACGCACTACAGTATTCTGACTGTAGAAACATAAAACAAAGTAAAATCCTGGACATTTCAGACATTTTAGGTCCCAAAAATGAGGACCACTCCGGGAAAAGGAGTTTGTATGGTTACCCCAAGAGCAAGGTTGTCAGATGTATCGTCATAGGTTTCTAAGCAATCGCTATCGAAATTAGTATATTTGAGAAATAGGCCTGCAGTGAAGTTGTCATTTTAGATGTTCGCTTGAACCTTCTAAGTGGATAAATAATTTAATATAATGTGCATGTTTTTACTTTGTGTGTACTTTGTCAATGAAATAAAGCCGAGGACTGTATTTTTTGCTCTCTTTTTTCCCGCACGTACTTATTTCCATTAATAAATTAATTAATTTTACATTCCAGCTCTTGAACAATCTACACCAAACAAAGGTGAGCATGATGTTTAAGGCGCCCGTGCGCAATACGAGGTATACAGACCTCATCTGTCACCTGACCCTGGTTCCTGTGTTGCAGAAGAGGAGGACTTGCTGGAGACAGCATACCGCAGGCAGAGGGCAGCAGAAAAGCAGAAGTACCTGGATATGGTGAGAATCGAGCCACGGTGGATAAAATGTATCCCGCTCTGCACCATTCCGACTTTAGCTTCGGCTGTTATTGACCGTTCACAGATATACCAGAGATCTCGGAATAAATAACCTTGCAGTATTGATACACATACATCTGCTGACTGCTGTTCTTTTATTGTAGGTAATTTTACAACAATAACATATTGATGTCCATTCCTTTCCTGCAATGCAGAAGCAGACAGTGACCAAATTTTCATTTCTTCCATGCTGACTCCAATTCGATTCTCTCCTCTCCCCCCCTCAACTGATGGATGCTGATGGTCTATTGCAGTGTTTCCCAATCCGGTCCTCAGGGACCCATAGACGGTCCACGTTTTTGCTTCCTCCGGGCTCCCTGCCAGACAGTCCTCATTTTTGCTACCTACACGGAGCTGGGAGGGAGCAAAAACGTGGACTGTCTACGGTTCCTCGAGGACCGGAGCTCTGAAACACTGGTCTGTTCTGTGTAATCTGAGTTGTGCTCTTCGTTCTGTCCCTTCATCATCACACGGGTCATCTGCAGGGACGGGAGGAACTATTCACGCCATGCCTGCATCTAATACACTGTGCTCTCCTTCATGTTTAATCCGCTCTGCTGTATACAAGCTGTTTATATACTGCAATTTAGCTTTGATTGGGTGTTGCACATTTTGAAATGAATGTTAAGCATTTACCAGAAGAGCTTTCTGTTGCAACACTGCCACTCTCCAAATTCAGTGAGTAAAAATAACCACTGTCTTGGTATCGTACCTTTAGAAATGTAAACTGATGTAGATCAGTGTTTCCTAACTCATTCCTCAGGGACCCTCAGACAGTCTGTGTTTTCGTCCCCTTCTAGCTCCTAACACACCTGCACCAGGTATTTAGTGTCTTCGATTGGCTGGGAGCTGAGAGGCAGCAAAAATATGGGCTGTCTGGTGGTCCCTGGGGACTGGGGTGGGAAACCCTGATGTAGATCAAAGCAGGTTCTGTCTGAATGTTTTCTGAATAGAAACAGTAGCCTTGTGAAGGATTGCGGCACGTTTAGGGAAACGTTTCAGGATTCCGTGTGAGATTCAGACCGCCTGGCCACCTTTAACCCATTTCACTGGAACGGAATCCCTGACGTTGGATTTTAATGGGTCGTTAATGGGCGGGGCATGCCGCCCGGCCAGCAGGACCCTCCTCGGGCCACCAGAATCTGCTGCTGTAGCACGCTGACCGCAGATGACAGGGGATCATCAGTTCTGAAAGTGCGGCGCTGGCAGTGAGCTGGCACACGGTGCTCCTGCTCGCCGCCCCATGCGGCACATTAAGGAAATGAATCTTCCAGCGGGGGAGAGCGGCGGAGGCCGAGAGATTCCACCATTAAACCTGACGGGGCAGCCCATGGCTGCCGAGCCTTAAATCACATCGGGTCTCCTCAGCTTAATAGGGAAAGCGGGCGGGCGCTTCGCGAAAAAGCACGTCCTCAGCCGTTTTTGCAGAAAGGCCCGAGGCGGCCCTTCCCGTCGAGATTCTCCAAGGCAGCACTGCACCGCCGAGTCACTGGCAACATCTGCTGTTTGAGGCTTGAAGCTGTAATTGATGTCTTATTAGCCGGATTAAATTGGTATTTGCAGTTTCTGGTTTGAGGTTCTACCATACAGTAGCATGGATTGCAAATCCAGTTCGGCTCAAATTTAGAAGGAAATTGACCAAAAACTGGTAAAGCTGTCACAAATCTATACACCAGCCATGGGGGATCATAAAGGGAGTTGGGGAGGGGGGCTAAAAAGGCCCTATTGACGGACGGGGGCCCAAAAAAATCTGTAGAACATTTGGATTGGTCTGGGTTGGGAGCCTCATATGATGCTTTCATGGGGCCTAAAATCTCTAATCCTCTGCACCAGCCACATCGCCATCACTGCTTATTGCTATATTTTTTAATGACTTAAAAAAAGATCTTACCAGTTGCAGTTACGTAGTCTCAGAGTGTTTTTGCAGTGTAAAGTAAGTATACAGCTCTGGAAAACAATTAAGAGACCGCTCTGTATTTATTTATTTAATCTGCATCTTTAAATCCTGGTTTAATCCTGGTTCTGCTGGCAGAAGGCTACACTGAGCAGCAGGTTGCTTCCAGGTTCAAAATTTGTAAGACAGCAGTTCACAAGAAGAAGGTGAAGCAGGAGACACTGGGAAAGACCAGAAACCAGTAAAGTAAAGGGCGGAAGCGACTTTCTAATGCCAGAGATGACTTAACTTATCTGACGGTTTCTCATGAATCGCAGGATGACATCAAGTGACCTTCAAAAGGAGTTTGAAACATTAAGTGCAGGTGTGCACTGCTAGGACAGTTCATATCAGGCTCCTAGATGGAGGACTGAAGTCCCATAAAGCAAGGAAGAAGCCCTTCATTAATGAGAAACAGGGAAGATCCAGGCTGCAGTTTGCAAAAAAAAAAGATATATATTACACACCCACAAATTAAGAAATGTGTGAACAAAAAATTGTGATGTGGTCTATTTAATTACATTTTTTGCAGAGCTCTAGTGACTTGTTTCAAAGACCAACATTTTGGCTCTATTTTTATGTAAAAAGTTGGACGCTACAAAACTTTAAATTGATCTAAAATGGGTCCAGCTGGAGTGGAATCAAATCCCTATCATTATTAAGTCAATCCATATTGAATCATTGTTGTGTATTGAAATCCTTACATGATGTTTGTATGCTTTTTGCATCATACTATAGACCACATATCTATCGTATGGTCTGAAAGAGAAATACACGCCTCTAGTGTTTAGTGTATTTTTAAACAGCGAACATTTGGATCGCAGTTATTATTTTAGGTCGTACCATTAATTTTCCTTTCTCTGAAATAGAACGGATTTGGCCGATAGGAAATATCTTGCACATTCCTCTTTTTTTTCCTATCCTGTTTCTGTCCTCCTGGCTGCTTGATGCCCGTCCGCTTCAAACACCAGGCACCCGCTAACCAGTTCCTTCCTGCCAGAGTCCCCTGTTCCAGGAGATGTCACTCGCATCCTCTGCCAGCAGTGACGCCGTCCAATGAGGTGGCAGGGGGAGAATAGGTCTGCTTCGGGTGCCATTCTGTCTGTGCTCCTGGCATAGTGAGAAGCCTGAGTGGTCTTCAGTTGTTAAATTGAAGCCGATCCATTCAGGGTTTTGCATTTTATGGCCTAAGCAACGGCGGATGAGGCAACGAGTTAGGACTTCTGTGGCCATCCTGCAGCAACCAGTGAAAGCCTTTGATTAAGATGATTGACGCTACCTTTTTACCTCACTCCTTAAAGACACAGCCAAGGGACAGTTAAGGCAGAGCTGGGCTGAAATCTCTTACGGAATGCAGTTGAAGTCTTTCATTGAGAATACCCTGCTCTGGGTGCCATCTCTGGCTGCAATCAGGAAGATAGGCATCCACAGTGACGCTACACTCTAAAATGATCATCAAGACACACAATTTAAAATGTGGTTCTTTACATGGTGCTTGAGTGTTTGTTGTAATTCAGAAATTCAGATCCAGCAACATGCTGGGCATAGCAGCTAGCATCTTGACGGGGACTTGAACCAACAACCTTTCCTAATCCTTAACCACTCACCTTGTGGCAAGAGAAAGTAACAAGTCGAGAACTTACGCACTGCAGCCTAATGTGAGCCTGCTAGTCTTTTCATTCCTCTATCATCCTGCATCTTAATGGGGACTTGAACCAACAACCTTCCATAACCCTTAACCACTCCCCTTGCGGCAGAAGAAAGTAACAGGTTGAGAACTAGTCCGCTGCAGCCTAATGTGAATGCTTGTATTTCCGTTCCTCTATCACACTGCATCTTAACAGAGACTTGAACCAACAATCTGCCTTAATCCTTAACCACTAACCTTGCGCCAGAAGAAAGAAGCAGGTCGAGAACTAGCCCGCTGCAGCCTAATGCGAGCCTACTAGTCTTTTAGTTCCTCTATCACGCTGCACCCTCCCGCTGCATCATGGGACTACAGAAGAATCCCTAACTCTGACTGACATCCTGGCTTTAGCCCATCCCCGCTCAGGACTCACGTCCCACACTGATTAATTTGCCTGCAGTGGTTCCCCTGCTGCTGCTCCCAGCAGCCACCTTCACTAATCCGATTACTGGGGTGGGTTGGGGGGGAGGGGGGCCATGTATTCAGGGTCTATTTATCTGAGAGAGTTTATGATAATTAGAGAGGTATTGATTTATCTTCCTGAAGAGCACATTAGTGCCAGCCGGGGATGGAGCTCTGTTTTCTGTCGAAGTGACGTGACAGTTCACACTGTAGTCAGAGCCTTCCTCATAGTCGTCTCTGGCTTCATCTTTCTCCGTTGAGCGATCTGTGACACTCCGCACTGTAATCCAGTCCCTTCCTCATAGTCGTCTCTGGCTCCATCTTTCTCCTGTGATCGATCTGTGACACTCCGCACTGTAATCCAGTCCCTTTCTCCTAGTCATCTCTGGTCTTGCTTTTGGGTTAAACCAATATGCTAATGGCAAGACAAAAATGAATCTAATTACTGAGTGGTGCATATCCCCATGTACAGAGGCAAGATAACATGGTCACAGGCCCCTAGGGTATTTCAGTTGTCAGAGACCCCCTACTATTTTTTACAATGGTGATGTTGTCCACCGGGGTGGGGAGGGGGAGGGGGAGGTTGGCAACAGTAAAACTTGCTGACGGGGGGTGTGGTTTAAAATTTTATTAAGCAAGGTTAGTTGAGGCCCCCTTTTAGCAGACACCCCTGGGTAAACTTGTGCATTACAGTTTTTCTCGATTGCTTTGGCACCTTTCATGAAACATGCTTAACATTCTCAAGCCTGTAAGAACATTTCTTAAAACTATTCATGCATATAGCACAACACTATGGTTTAGCTGCAAAAGCCTGTAACTAACCCAAAACAATTAACTCATGTCTCAAAAGCAAATGATTCCACCAATGTCAGTGCTACCAAAATGAAAAGAACAATCAGCATCGTTTTAACCATGAGCGTCTAAATGCTTAGATATATCGTCAGTGTGTCACTGTAAGTCTGCTCCTGAGCTCCACAATGCTGAATTGTAGTAGTTTCCCACTTTCTCATTGTCACTGATTGATCACTTTTCAGTAGGAAACTGATACCTACTTTTGTCAAAGACACCAATTTCACCACTGCGAGGCTCTACATTACAGTATGTAAAGTTCACTGGCAAGAGAGAACACTCACATGCACACGTAATTTCTTCAGATCTCAAAGCACAGTGCATTAGGAAATAAAACAGTCACACAGCACCGTATAACACAATACAGCAAAATGTCAACACAAAAAAGACAGAAGGGCAACAAAGGCATGTGCTGTGGGACAGTGGAGGTTCTAGACCATTTCAATGGCGGGTCTGACTAAGGCCATTTGTTCTGTTAGGGGGGCAGATGCATTTGACCTTTATGTCCTCCAAGTAGTACCTGCCAGTATTATGAAGCAAAATACACTTTTGAAACTCGATTATTCATGCAATAACTCACTCTGATTTCTTGTTTAGGCTGTCTTGCTTCCACAAGCTTGATTATTATTATTTTTTCTGTTAACTTCGCTTTTCACCAACTCAAGTGACTCGACCCCCCCGGCGCCCCCCCGCGTTGAGGGTTCATCAAGAAAATGGGCTTATGTTTGTGTTTTGCCTGTTCCCAGCACAACGAATGTTACCACACATATATAAATGTAAATAATAATAACAGTAATAACAATACATTTATTTCAGACCCAAGTAGCATACGTAATTAGGGGCCCCCCAGAGGGCCATGCATATCAAAACTGCCCCCCCAGAACCGCCCCCGCTGTGGGATATATTTCTAAATCATTGAAGCAATGAGAGATGACGTTCTGCAGTGCAGAAGTGACATTATGGTGTGGGGATTACACTTCTTCTTTCACAAGTGTTAATTGTCATTTGCGAAATGCTCCAAAGCAACAGAGAAACACTGTAAAGAGCTGCCCCCCACCAGGGAGGAAGCATTCCACGCTTCAGGTGATAATTCTGCCGATTTGGTTGGGGGGAAAAAAATGTTTTTTTACATTGATTTTCCGGAGGGATGTTTACTTTTTTTCATGGTTTGTAAATGGATCAGTGGGTAGCAGGGGTGCCGTAAAAAGAGGAAAGTCGGGACGATTCCAAGGGCCCCTGACTGATAGGTGCCGTAACAAATTTAGAACATAATTGGATTGGTCTGGGTTGGGGACCCAATATGATATGCTTTTATGGGGCCCGAAATCTCCAGTGGCGCCCCCTGGTGGGGAGCCATGATACCTCATCAGTCTCCAGGGTTGGGGATATTAATTCTTGTATCAATTGGCTAGCCAATAAAATAATAGAACTTACAAATAGTTTTAGACTTTTCTTTCCGTGTTTTTGTGGAGCTTATAAAGTAACATCAACCTATGCATTGCCTGTAAAAAAGAAACAGTTGAAAAGGCTTTACTTACCAAATATGTGAGAGTTAAATCATCTACGGGTGAGTGAGCTTGTGCTCATTAACTGATTAACTGAGGCTTCTTTGAGCTGCTTTGTTGTTGCTGTGATTTTGGCAGATTCATGACGTGTGTTTCCCTTCCTTTCTCATGGAGAGTAATCAGCCTAGAAGCTCACAAAGTATGAGTCTCCAGAGTGACGGTCAGCTGCATTGGAGCTGTCTTAATGAGTGCATCCTGTTCCAGTGCCGTCTGGGTGTGGCTGGCTGAAGACACAACCCTTACGGAGAGCCTTCTGGAAGTCTATGCTGAGGATCCTTTAGTCTTAGGAAGTGCTTATCAATATTGCTGATTGCTGATAGATAGATAGATAGATAGATAGATAGATAGATAGATAATCATACTGATTACGATAAACACAGAAAGACAGATAGATAGATAGATAGATAGACAGATAGATAGATAGATAGATAGATAGATAGATAGATAGATAGATAGATAGATAG